GCATAGCTATTGTCATTTCTTCCATTTTACTGATGAAGGAATCAAGGCTGGAATAAATTAAATGATTTGTTCATGACTGCATAGCTGGTGTTATATTGATCAATCAATTAATAAACATTTTTAGGGACTTACTATGTGCTAGGTGCTGAGCAAGGAGCCAGAACTATAATTTTTTTTAAAAATGAAATGCTCCCAACTCTCAGGGAGTTTCTATACTGCCGGTCTGAAAGGGGAATCAGGGGGGCAGCTAGGTGGTGCAGTGGATAGAGCACCAGCCTTAGAGTCAGGAGGACCTGAGTTCAAGTTCAGCCTCAGACACATAACACTTACTTGCTGTGTGACCCTGGGCAAGTCACTTAATCCCATTGCCTACCAAAAAAAAAATGAAAGGGGAATCAGGGAGGACTTCCTGTAGCAGATGGAGCCAAAGATAAACTTAGACAGAAGCCAAGGAGGTGACAAGGAGGAGCCTTCTAGGCATTGGTACCAGGCTAGGCAAAGGCCTGGAGACAAGAGATGAAGTAGCATGTACAGGGAAAAGCAAGTACACTAGTGTGGCTGGACTGTAGCATCCATGGGAGGCAAAAATGTATTAATGGAAAGAAGCCCATTAACTTAACTTCTCTGGGACTCAAATTCCTCATCCAAAAAGGGAGCTTCTTAGACTGAACTGCCTGTGTTTCGATCCAGCTTTAAATCTACAATCCTAGGATGCTATATCCTGGATTCAAATCTTACCTCAAGATGCTTAGTAGGTCTTTAACCCTGGACAAGTCACTTAATCTCTCAATATCTCTGAGTAAGTCAATGAGCAGGTGACAATCTGCATCAGTGGAGAGATTTTCCTACTTGGGAATTCCCTATTCCATTTAAACCACTCCCTCCTTCCCATGGTGGGGAAAAAGAGAGAAGATGGCAGTGATTTTGGGTAATGCCAGATTTGGCTAATGATTGGTCACTTTACTGAACTGCAACCCCACGGTGCCATTTTAAAATCTTCGTTATAAAAGATAGCTCTCTGGGATGCGAAAGCAGGAGAAAAATGCTGGGAAGTGTGGGTGATGTGAGAAAAAAAGATTTTATTAAGAATTTTAAAATGAAGACAACAGTGATAATTGACTTTTTTTCTGGTTTTGTGACCAAGATTTGGGCCTGGGTGGAGGCAATCCTAGGAACCAACCCACATTCTCAAAATTTCCAAATTTCCACATTAGTTTAACTTTTAGGGGAAAAAACAAAATTTGGAAATTTCTACTTCAGTACTAAGAAGAAATGGTCTGCTTTTATCCAAATCTTCGGCCATATTGTAGAGGATTCCAAAGCGCTTTTCTCATACTTCTTTCAGGTAGGCAGCAAAAGTATTGTTATCCCCATTTAGTAGATAATGAAACTTGAGGCCCAGAGAGGTCAAGTGTCTCAGAGGGACACACAGTTAGCAAGCATCTGAGCTTGGATTCAAACTCTGGTTCATAGTTTCATAGACAGAGCTGGAAAGATCCTCAGAAACCACCTATTCCAACTCTTTTTTACAGATAATGTCACTGAAGCCCAGAGAAACAAAGTAATGTGACCAAGGTCACACAGGCAATAAGTGGGATTTGAACCGGGATACTCTTACCCCAAATCCCTAGTCTTTTCTATTATGCCACACTGACTCCTCGTGGTCCTTTCCCACAGCTATTTCCTAAAAGATGCTGGGCCATCTCCAGTGGTCCTGATGAATATCTGGCCACTGGACCCAGATGGCTCTGGAGGAGAAAGGGAGGCTGGTGACCTTGCACAGTCCTCCCTCACTCAAATCAAAGTCAATTGCAAGTTATGTCATCATCTCCTTGATGTCATGGTCCTCTTCGAGAATGAAGGACAAACACAACACCAATTCTACAAGATGCTTGGCTTGTATTGTCCTAAAATTGGAATAGCATCACTTCTACCACCCACCATTTATAAAATATTTCCAGGTCACAAAATACTTCCACATCCATAACTCCTTGGATCTCAGAAAACAACACTGAGAGGTACGCAGGGTTAGTGTTTTTGTCTCCCTTTTACAGATTAGAAAACTGAGCCTTGGAGTGGGTAAGGGATTTGCCCATGGTCACACAGCTTGTAAATAAAGGGGCAAGGACTCAAAAGGAGCCATCCAGGTGCCGGAACTAGGGTTATTTCTTGATGACCACAATACAACACAATCAGCTATCATCAGTCAACCATTCAGGGGGTGATTGTGGTCTCTTTCACCTCAAATGGATGGTATCTCCTGTAAATATGGCTCCATGATATTCCATCCCACTCTGAAGAGTCTTTGAAGGTAACCAGTCATGAGTTGAGATAGATGCATTCGTAAATGGACATTTGAATGAAATAATACTGCACACCAGGCATGATGATTTAGCAAGTGTTTATTTAGGTTTCATAGCAACTATAAAACATCATAAGATACTGGGCATACCCAGCGATACTCAGAAACGAAACCTAGACATTGACAAAGAAAAAGGGAGAGGATTTTTAGAGAAAGGCCCTTAATTAACTAATAGCTTAAGATTCTTATCACATTGACACCACAGACCTCACTGATTGTTGGACACTTTCTGCAATATGGCCAAAGATTTGGATAAAAGCAGACCATTTCTTCTTAGCATTGATGCAGAATTTCCAAATTTTATTTTTTTTTCCCTAAAAGGGATGCTCACTACAATCTATTCAGAGAGAAATCAGTTAATACTTAAAGACATGCTGGGCAACTCACAAAATTCATCAGAAACATAATTATAACTGGAAAGAACCTCAGAGGCTAGCTAGCCCAAACATTTTAAAGGTGAGAACATTGAGACCCATGGAGATTAAGTGACTGGTCCAAGGACATCCAAGTGATAAGCATTAGATTTTGACCCAGGCTCTTTGAATTCAGAATCATCCACTCCCATTACTAATACAATGTCTCATATAAGAATGTTTTTAAAGGTATTTGCTGAATAAATGAGTAAATGAATGAACAATAGAATGAAAGGTAGAGAAAAGTGGGAAGATGGCAACTTGGGACTTGGTAAGGATACATCATTAACTTTTTTCTTCTAACTAGGTGGTGTGGTAAACAGGAAGATGACTTCCATTCTCAGCTCTGAAAGTCATTTCCCTCTTGGGCTGCAGTATCCTCATCTGTAAAATGAGGAGGTTGGATTGGGGGTCTTCAAGGCCCCTTCCAGTTCTAAATTCTATGATCATTCAAATCTTTTTAAATGCACTCAATTCAATGTGACAGAGACAGTACAGATAGCAGGAACTAACTAGATTGGGGTTGTGGGGCATGGTGCAGTATGACGTGTCTATTAGGAATACTCCTAAAATGTTTAATGTGTTGGCATGAGATTAAATCCTTCCATCCTTGGGTGAACTCCTTCAGTCTCCCCTGCTTAAGCTACTCTGCCAACAAGGTGGCAAATAATAGGTAACCCTTCCCTTATTGGGAGGGATTATAGGTCCCATTTGCTTTAATACTCATAAAATATTTCTCTTGAACTATCTCATTTAAAATTTGCCACAACCCAGTGACTACGTATAGGCTATTGTTATTTCCATGTTATAAATGAGGAAACAAAGGTTCAGAGATGACCAGGGACACCCAACTGGGAAACGTCTGGGGCAGGATTAGAAAGTGAGTCTATACATACTGAACCACTCCAATTTTCCAGTAAAATTATACCTATTCATCCATCTAAAGCACACTTATCTTTCCACAAGCTTGATGGAGTTGGAGTCATGGGCTGGAGAAGTTGGGTTGAATTAGATGGCTTCTCAAAAACTGCCTGGCTCAGAGACTATAATCTTCTGATAGAAGTAACCCCTCTGCTATAGGCTGAGCTCTCTGAAGCAGCTCTCTCTCTCTCTCTATCTATCTATCTATCTCTCTCTGTCTCTCATTATGGATGTACTACAATTCCTGTAATATAATTTTGTCCGCGCTAATGAAAAATGAATGTCATAGGTAATCCGATATGTTCTATGAATGGGACCTCAGCTGAACCCTAGAGATTCTTCAAGTAGGCAAGAGCCCTGATAACCCTCCCTAAGTCACAGAGTGTGAGAGCCCAAGTGAATCTTATAACACAGAATGTGAGATCTCCATCATCCCCATTCTCACCCCCATCCTGATAGGAACAGGCGTAGCTCTAGGACTTTCAAGCTTCCAAGTGCTTCATAGCCACTATCCCATTGGTCTCTCCCAACAACCCTAGGAGGTAGGTTACTGCAGATGTTATCATGGTCATTTTACAAATGAGGAAACTGATCCTTAGAGAGGTTTAATAACTTGCCTTAGTCCCACAGCTATAAATGCCAGTGACAGGATAGTTCACAGAAAAAAAGAGGACATGAAATGTTACAGCAGAAACAGACCCTAGACTGTGGACTATTAGAATATAGAGCATTGCATGTTAGAGCTGGAAGGGAACTTAGGATAAATCAATCAGCCAATCAGCATTTATTAAGCACCTATTGAGTGCCAGGTACTTTGCATGATTCTGGAAAATTGCATCCAGTCCCCTAGAGAATCACAGACTGTCCAGGCTGGAAGGGACCTTAGAATGTTATAACATAGAACATATAATCTTAGAACAGCATGCTAGAGCTGCCCAGATCTTAGCTCTTAGAATGATGGGATACCGAATATAGAATGTGAGAGGGGAAAGAGACCTTCAGACATAAAATGTTAGAGATGGGCTGTTCCTTAGAATATGGATTTTCAGAACACAAAACAAAGAATATTAGAGCTGGAAGGGACCTTAAAACATAGAAATATTAGAGTTAGAAGGGACCTTAGAACAAAGAATATCAGTCCTGGGAGGGATCTTAGAACATAAAACATTAGAGACTTACAACAGGGAATTTTAGATCATAGAACATCAGAACTTAGAACAAAGTCTACCTGAATAATAGCTGAAAGGCACCATAAGAGATTATATAGTCTACATCTCCTCTCCCCACCCTACCCCCCCAACCATTTATAAAGGAGGAAACTGAGGCCCAAAGTTCAAAGGTCACACAGTGAGAAAATGGCTGGACTGGTTGGTGACAGTTCTCATTAGATTCTCACCAAACCAAATAAAGCTTGCCCGCCTTCATGTCATTTGGTAAAAGGGGGTTGGTCTGAGACACGAAGGCCATGAGAGGCACGCCCAGGATGCCTACGCTGGCCACACCTCCTTGGGAATGCTTCATCTCTCCCTTCCTCAGACTGAGAAAAACATGTCCCTGGGTACAAGAGGGGAAACACAGCAAACACCTGTTAGCACAATCTAGGCACATCTTACAGCTCTTTCAGATACCGCAGTGCCGGCTCCAAGAGAAGGTTCTCTCCCTGTCGAAACCTCCGAGCTGCCTGATCAATTTTCAGAGGGCTGAGGGCGAGGTTATAAATGAGATTGTAGTTGTGCATGAGGCGCTTGGCTCGCTCCTTCTCCAGAACACCTGTGTTTGGGGTACAAGGAGGGAGGGGAAAGAGAGAGAGAGAGAGACAGACAGACAGACAGAGAGAGAGAGAGAGAGAGAGGATAGAGAGGACAGAGAGACAGACAGAGACAGAAAGAAAGAAAGGGAGAGAGTAAGAGACAGAGATAGATGGAGAAATCCACAAAGGGAGAGAATGAAAGAGAAAGAGATAGAGAATAGGACAAAGAGAAGACAAAAACAAAGAAATAAAGAGATGGAGGGTTAAAGACATAGAGACAGAAGAGGAGAGAAACATAAACAGAGAAAGGAAGATAGAGGGAGAGAGAAAGACACAGAATGAGACACAGATGGAGAAATAGAGATAGAGAAAAGACATTTATTTTCAAGGCTAACCTCTTCATAATGTCTTACACATAGTAAGGGTTTAATAAATGTTTGTTGAATTAAATGGGATTCCTGAAAAGGATCCACAATAGGTGCTTCTGAAGAACCCATGGCCCTGACAAAAGCCAACGCTGAAAGGTGGGCACCTTGCCTCATGAAGGCTCTCCTACAAGCTCCATTGGCTGATGCCATTGGCTGAGTGCAGCCAACAGCTGAATTCTAGGCCAAGTTCAAGGCAATACTTTGTGTAGTCATGACCACTTTCTGAAGCCAGTTCTAGAGAAGGGTGGGGCGGCACCGAAAGGCCAAAAGTCATAGATTCATAGAATGCTAGAGCAGGATGAGACTCCTGAGATCTTTCAATCCAATGTCTTTTTTCTACTTATGAGAAAAATGTGGCCCATTTCCCCAAGATCACGCCCACATGATTGAATCATAGTCTTCTAGCACCTGGGCATCATGTTCAACCAGTCTGACATTGCTAAGCTTCTTTTATTTCTCTTTCTCCCCTTTGGCTTCCCATATTATTCCACTCCACATTGTATTTTGCATTCTATCTTATCTCCCCTCCTAGATGGTAAGCTCCCTGAAGCCCCAACTACTGGATGGATAAATGGTAGATCTGATCCTTGATCAGTTCAGGGCTGGACTCAATGGTTCCTAAAGGCCCTTCTGGCTGTGAGATGCTGGGATTATAGGCAAATGAGGTCCAAGTCTTACTATTCTTTCTCCCTTCTCCATCACCCCATACAGCACTCTGGACATAAGAGGGTACTTAACATAGATTTCATAAATGAACCCATTTGCATTTTGCCTTTTCCTCATCGCGTGCCTAAAGCGTTGTGTTTGTGTTCTGTAGCCTGTGTTCCCATCAAACTCTAGAATAATATAAGCCTAATTAATTAACACTTTAAGGTTTGCAAAGTGTTTGCTACATGTTATCTGATCCTCCCACTGACCCTTTAAGATAGGTGTTGTTATTATCCTTATTTTGTGGATGAGGAAACTGAGGCCCCAGGACTTTCCCAATGTAGTAAATGGCAAGATTCAAACCCAGGTTATGGGATCATAGACTTAGGGGTCGAATGAAGCTCTAGAGGTCTCCTAGAAACTGAGGCTGTGACAAGATGAGTGACTTGCCCAGGGCAATGCAGCGAGTATATGAGACAGGATTCAGACTTAAGTCTTCCTGATAGCTGAGCCAGCACTCTATCCAATGCACCACCAAGCTGTATTTGCCATTATCGCCAGACCTGGCCCTGCTACCGGCGCAGCTATTTGTAAATGATTTCCCATCTCTTAGCCCCAGCTTCCTGAATGTGCTCTATGTTTGATTTTCCAAGATTATGTCTTTTTGTTTGACCTTTCAGTGTTCCAAGTCCCCACCAGTACTGACATTCTATGTTCTAAGGTCTTTTTCTATACTCTGGGATTCTACATTCTGTTTTTCTTCCATATTTCTGCTCTATCACTTCACTTAGTTGTAACATTCTATGTTCCACAGGCTCTGTCAACTCTGACATTCTCTGCTCTAACATTCTATGTACTGATTTTCCTTCTTGCTCTGTTCTAAGATCCCTCCCAGCTCTGACATTCCTTGTCCTAAGACCCCTCCAACCTCTGACATTTCATGTTCTAAGGTTTTTTCTACCAACGTTTCTACCAACGTGCCAAGGTCCCCTCTAACTCTGACAATTTCTCTTCCTAGGTCTCTCCAAGCTCTGACATTCTATATCCTTAGGACCCTTCCAATCTTCATATTCTTTGTTCTGGGGTCCCTTCCAGTGCTGACATTCTACATTCTAATGTTCCATCTCCTAAGGTCCCTTCAGCTTCAACATTTTATCTTCTAACGCACACGCCATCTCGGACATTTTGCATCTAAAGATCTCTTCCAGCTCTGATAGTCTACACTCCAATAGTCTATATTCTAAGTTCCCTTATAGCTGCAGCATTCTGTGTTCTATGATTTAAAGAGCCTCCAAGCTTTACTGCTAGGAAATTCATCCTGATGTCAAACTCAAAATGCCATCAGCTGAAATGTGCACCCATTCCAGTCTATCATGTCATGAGTGGACTCCCCAAACAGCTGCTCACCACAATCCTTCAATCTCTCATCATGTGGTAAAGTCCATCTTCTTCTGCTTTTGTCCTTCCCCCACTCCCTCAATGAAAACACACACAAACACCAGCAAGAAGCTGGGAGGACTTTCCAAGTATCCTTCAGAGAGCAAGCCATGGCAACACACCCACCACCTCCTCAAAGGTAAGAACAATCTGTTTGCCCAACATCATTTACTTTCCTCTATTTATCGAGGTAATCATTCATATCAGGACAAAGGGCCCTTCCGTACACTGTGTGTGTCCATCCCAGGGACTGCTTCAATGTGCTCTCACACAGAAAGTGCCAAATAAACATTTATGACATGTGCAGCCTTCATCTCAACTCAAGCATGAGCTGAACCTTTTCTTGAGCCTCAGAGAACATAGCTATTTGCAAGAGGGAGAAATATAGGTCTGGTGTAGTGGCAGGATTCTTGGAGCTATTGATAAGATGCTCAGGACCAAAGCCTGACCCCTACATTGTCTGGCTGCATGACCTTTGGAATATGACTTCCCTTCTGCATTTATAAAAATAAGTCATTGAACCCAATGAGATCTGAGGTATCTTCTAGCTTTAACAGCGTAGGTGCTAATACCCCTCCAAGGTCTAACGTTCTAGGTTTTAAGGAGCCTTCTAACTCAAACACTGTGAAGTCTTTCCCAGTTTGGTGCTCTAAGATGTTATGTTCTTGAGTACTTTCCAGCATCAACATCTTATGTCCTAAGGTCCTTCCCGGCTCCAATATTCTATGCATTGAAATTCTCTGTTCTAAGGTCCCTTCCAGCTCTGATATTCTACACTCAAGGTCACATACATTCTTATTCTAACATACTATGTTCTAATGTCCCTTCTAGCTCTAGGTTCTAAGATTTTTATGTTCCAAGGTCCTTCCCTGCTCCACTTTAAGTCCCCATGTCTTTCCATAGCTCTAATATTCTATGCCCTAAGGTTCTTCCCAGTTCTGACATTATATATCGTTAGGTCCCTTCCACCTGTGATAGTCTATGTTCCAAGGTTTAATACTTTTGTGTTCTAATGACCTTTCTAGATCAACCATACTAAGGTCCTTCTGAGCTTTGATGATATTGGTTCTAAGGTTCCTTCCATCACTAGGACTCTAAGCCCCACTCCTGTATTCTGGGTTCTAAGGTCTGTAGCCACTCTGTGATTTTGTAACATAGTCCTCCTCCTGCTATGAGGCCGTGGTTGCTTCCTAAGAGTTTGTGGCAAATGAGTCAGCCAACATGCTGACCTCGGTCAATCCTCATTTTTCATTAAAAGTTGCCTCAGACGTTCCCATCTCTTGCTGACCTATTCTTTGGCTGTAGTGACTCTCCACATTTCATGGAAACGGGGAAAACAGACATAAATAATGAAGAGGTCATGGGGAAAGCATTTCAAATCTGCCCTTTTAATTTATTTACATCCATCATCTACCAAGGTCAATAAAACTCCATAGAGAACTTATTTCTTTAGAAACTCCACAAGAATGAGGCCCAAGACTGGGGAGAAATAGATCAATGACTGAGGCTGTGGCTATTATCAGTAATTGAATTTTGAGGGTTTCTGTTTGTTTGTTTTTTTTTTAATGTGTCTCTATCTATATATACATGTATGTTATTAAATTTAAATAGAAGTATATTTCTTGTATACATTTGTATATTGAATTAAATGTACATGTAATTTATATATACATAAATGTATTTCTATATGTACATATAAATCTATACATATGGATACACATATATACAATACGTGTATATATACATTATATAGATTTATGTATACGTATCCAAATATATATGTATTCATACATTTAAATATGTATGTATGTAGATACATATGTATACATGTGGGAGTCACAAAGGTAGACAGGGACAGAATTAGGATTAGAAAGCACCAGGGTCTCCTGAGACCCAGGCCAGGGTGATTCATAAAGATATGCTGAGAAGCTGAGTGAAATACATTGTGAAATCCTGATATACCCTGATGTCCTTAGCATTTCCCTGATCTAAATCACCTCAGAAACCTATCAAAATGAACAGTGAAACTTGGACATGAATGGGAGCCTACCCTATTATTTCGTTACAGCCAGAGTCTTTAAAAATGTTTATTGAGGGTAGGAATTAAAGGGAGACACACTAGATAAGCCTCAACCATCTCCCCACCCCCACTCTCCTCCAGCCCTAGCAATCTGGCTTCTGACCTCACCATTCAACTGAATCCACTCTCTCAAAGGTCAGCCATGACAGTGGAATGGCTGAATCCAATGGCCCCTTCTCAGGCCTCCTTGACCTTTCTGTAGCACTCAATGCTTCCGCTACACTAGCTCCACCCTTAGCTTCTCTCTATGTTCTCTGACCACTTTCAACCACTCCTTCTTGGTTTCCTGGACTGGTTCATTCTTTCATTTGCTTCATCTCCCCCCGCCCCCCAAGCATGTGTACGAGTGAGGCAGTGAGGTAAAAGAGTGCTGGCCTCTTGAGTCACAAAGACTTGGGTCTAAATCTTGACTCAAAGATTTATCAGTTGGGTGACCTTGGTAGGTCATGTGCCCTTTCACAGTCTTAGTTTCCTTAGAAACTGGGAAGAATGATAACGCCATTTTCACCCTGTGTGTGAGGTCCAACGTATATAAAGCACTTTATACATAAGTGTGTACCACTACTATTATTATTCTTAAACACTCCCCTATTCCCCATAACAATCTCTTCTGTGGGAGGCAATATGGCACAGTAGAAAAATGCAGAGCACGGAGGCTGAACACCCAGGTTCAAATCCCCTCTCTGTCTCTTGCTGTCTGTGTGACCTTGGACAAGTCATTTTATGTGAGTGGTTCTCAGTTTCTTCATCTGTTAAATGAAGAAGTTGGGCTAGACATCCTCAGAGGTCTCTTCTAGATTTAAGTCTAGGATCCTGGGCTGACCTGGGTTTGAATCCTGGAAAAGATGGTTTCTCAAGTTCCTTCCAGGTCTTTGACCCTATATATCTTGTCTATGCTGATGAGTTCCATTATCACCTCCCAGCAGATGACTCCTAGGGTCATTATATTTTCTAATTTCTTCCCTGAGCTTTAGTTCACATCTGGAACTGCCTTTGGGGCATTTCCACCAAGATACCCCACAAGTGACTCAAACCTGGTATGCCCAAAACACCACTCAATCTCTCCTTCAACTCAACCTACTCATCCTTCTTATCATGGTGAGGTAGTTAATGGGGCCCTGGATTTGGAGACAGGAAGATCGGGGTTTAAATTCTGTGTCAGATACTCACAACATCTATGACCCTGCACCAGGCAGCATCCAGAATGTCCAGTCCCCTATGTAGTGTGCAAGCTACTTGAGGGCGGGAATCACTTTGTTTATTTATTCCTATAGCTTAACACAGTATAGTGCCTTTCACAATGCTGATGAACAATAATTATTTCTTATTTTGATAAATGAATGTATGAGTTTGCATAAATTCCTTTACCTCAGATGCAGCTAGGTGATGCAGTGGATAGAGTACCAGCTTTGGAGTCAGGGGGACCTGAATTCAAATCCAGCCTCGGAAACTTGACACTTACTAGCTGTGTGACTGGGGCAAGTCACTTAACCCCCATTGCCTTGCAAAAAAAAAAATCCTTTCTGGTTTCTGTTTTCTTACATGTAAGATAAGTGGTTTTGGTCTCTACCAACTCTAAGGTCCTTTGCAGATCTACTATTCTATGTTTTAAAGTCTAGATCCCTTCTAACATGATAATTCTATGATTTAGATTCTAAAGTTTTATGTTCTAAGGTCTTCTCCAGCTCTAACATTTTATGTTCTAATGCCCCAGCTAGCTCGAACTTTCTATGTTCTAACATTGTATGTCAGAAGGTCTTTTCCAGTTCAAACATTCTATGTTCTATGTGCTAACGTTCTATGTTTGAAGGTCCCTTTTTGTCTCTAACGTTCTATGTCCTATGTTCTAAGGTAACCTTTAGCTCCAAAATTGCATGTTCTAACACTCAATATCCTAAGGTCATTCTGTATTCTAATGGTGCCTTCCAGCTGAACATTTCTGTGTTCTACAGTGTAGGTGGCTGTATGAAATGACCTTCAATGCCTGAGTCCCAACTAGAGCTTTGGAGTCTTGTAATGGGTCCAGTATAGTTTGCTATGGTGATGGCATTTATTTTAATGGAAATTTTATTTGGAGGAATCCTCCCTTGCATTTGATTAAAGGTTTGCTCTTTTCAAAATATTCCTACATTTGAATAAAGGGAAGCAGCCAGGTGAGTGCTGGACGTGGAGTCAGAAAGACCTGAGTTGAGCGCACATCCTGCCTCAGATAATTCCTAGCTGTGTGACTCTGAGCAGGTCACTTAATCTCACTCAGTTTCCTCATCTCTAAAATGGGTAGAATAATAGCACCTCCCTCCCAGGGCTATTGTGAGGATCAGTTGAAATAGCATATATACAAAGCTCTGCAAACATTAAAGTGCTATGTAAATGATAAATAATAAATATCGTAAGAAATTATAAAGAGTAAAGTATTCATGAATAGTATCATAAGAAAGTTGTAAACAAGTACCATAACAAATAATAACAAATCTTTCCCACGTTCCTGAGCCTGCCAGATATCATGGAGGGGACTGACTGCCCAGCGAGAGGGGGGCTTATTCCAACAGTCTTTCACCTGTATTGTTCACATCACACAAGTAGAGGGCGTTTTCTAGCTTTCGGAAGCGGTCCATCCACGTCTCCCTGTGGGCCTCCTCGTTCCTGAGTTGGCTCAGATACGGCTGTGAGGCTGGTCGGGTCTTCCTGCCGGCCTCGCTTTGCTTGGAGGCCCTCGTCTCGGGAGCAGGGTTTGCAGGGGGTGACTCCCCGTCTTCTGTGTGTTTCTAGCAACAAAAAGCAAAGTTTTATGACAATAAGATAGCAACACAGACAATCCCAAGGTTCCTTGGCAGAAGAATGGGCCACCCAGACATCAGGAACTGGGAGAAGTTTATGCTTCCCAAAGCCAGGGAGGCCACGTTTTAAGTCCTCATTCTGCAGGATGATGCTTGCCAACGCCTGCTGGATAGAAATGACTGGTGAAGGGGTTTGAAATGAAATTCCACAAGGAAGGGCACTAGCCTCTGTTTAGCTCAGTCTTAGTGGGGTTTTTGCTGGGGAGTCACAAAAAGTGTACTAGAGGGGCAGCTAGATGGCACAGTGGATAGAGCACCAGCCCTGGAGTCAGAAGGACCTGAGTTCAAATCCGGCCTCAGACACTTGCTAGCTGTGTGACCCTGGGCCAAGTTACTTAATCCCAATTGCCTCAAAAAAAAAGTATACTGGAAATGAAGAAGTCTGCAGTCTGGGCTCTGGACATCATTTAACTGAGACTGACCTAGTTCTATACTAATGTGGTCCGAAGAGGGGGAATACCCAGTGGAGTGCTTAGCATGAGTCCTAATGAGTGAACAGTGGTCAGTTGGCCTTGGGCCCAAGGTGCCCATGTTGAGTGGCACGCTCGTAGTGCACTGCTGGTGTATGCTTCCTCCCATCTTCCAGATCCCTCCCCCTACCTCAGCCCTCAGGTAACTTCAGGCAAAGCCCATACTGTGCCTTCTGGCCTGCCCTTGGCAATAGCAGCCTTGTCCTGGGCAGCCTTTTTCAAGGACATGTTTGCAGTCAGATCCTTGTGCGTGCCCTCCAAAAGCATCCAGTCAGAAGATCAGGGATTTGGAGCTGGAAATGACTTTATAATCCTCTAGTCTAACTCTCTCATTTACCTATGGGGAAACTGAGGTCCAGAGTTAGGAAGTCACTTGCCTAAAAGCACTTCTCCTCCAGGAAGCCTTCCCCAGCCCCTCTTCACTCTAGTGCCTCCCTTCTCTGACTTCCTATTTATCCCATACACAGCTTGTTTGTACATATTCATTTGCTTGTCATCTTCCCCCATCAGACCATACACTTCCTGAGTGCAGGGAATGCCTTTTGCCTCTTTTGTATCCTCAGTGTTTAGCACAGTTCTTGGCACATAGTAGCTGCTTAATATATACTATATATATATATATATATACACACATATACATATACATATATACATATATATATATATATATATATATTGACTGACACAAGCAGAGACAGAGCTAGGGTTCAAAGTTAGGTCCTTTGTCCTTTCCCCGTATTCTTCCTCAAGCCCTTCAGGACCATGGAAATCTTTCACAGTGCCCTAGACCGTCCTTGTCACCCCCTGGTAGTCCCATCCTGACCATCTGCCTCTCTCCTCTGTTTTGACTTTAGAATGTGAACTTCTTGAGAGGATGGTTGGTGTTTTTGCTTTTCTTTGTGTGCTTAGCACATGCTTATTGACTGACTGACATTTCCCTGAATTGGAAAGATAGTTCTGCAGAGAATCCAGACCTTGAAAGGGGCTATTGAGCATAGGGACTGAGTCTTCCATGAGAGCCTAGTACTGAGGAATGGTCTGCTCAACCAGACCTTCTTAACCTTTGGGCCCGCCTTTAAAAAAATGGCAATTATTTCAATAAAACTTTGTAATGCTATGTATTTTATTTAATGTACTTAAAACATCATCCTGAGAAAGAAGGATATTTAGGCTTAACCAGAGGGGTTTGAGATACACAAAAGGTCAAGAATTCCTGCTCTAAGGAGAGACATTACTATATAATGGAGAAAGTCAGACTTGGGGTCAGTGGATCTGGTTAAAATCTTCACTCTACTACTTACTACCTATGTGACACTAAGAAAGTCATTTCCGTTCTCTTGGCTTTGGTTCCCTCTTCTGTAAAAATGAGGGAACTGGGATAAATGGGATACAAGATCCCTTTCAGTTCCAAATCCCTTGAACTTCTGAAACTATGTCCTTTGAGATGAACCGAAGAAACTTGGAAAGGTTAGCCTGGAGAAGAGAACACTGCAGGGTACATGGTCATTGTCTTCAAATGTTTGAAAAGCTGATACTGGAACAAGGTCTGGGCTTGGTCAGGCTGGCCCCAGGGGCAGGAGCACAGGGAAGATGTTCCAGATGGATTTTGGCTGTGAAAAAGAGGGGGGGATCTTCCCAACTTTATAATGTGATGAGTTACTTGTTAACGAGGATGTGCTTTACTCAACTGCAAACCAATTTTTCACAAAAGGCTAAGTGGGAAAAAAGTTAAAAATTAATGTTGCCAGCGGCAAAAATGGAGGCTGGTGTGAACTGTCAGTTGTGACTGCTTATGTTGCTATGATGGCGTTCCTTTGCTGGGGCTGACAGGCTCCAGCTGACATTTTGGGGAAGCCCCAGGGTGCTGCTGGGGCCCCACATGCCCATCAGGGGATGCTCCTCTGCTCAGGACGGTCTAGGGCTCCCTACTCTGGCGGCAGGCAACGTGAATTTAAGGCTTACTAGGTGCTAGGCCCTGAGGATACAAGAAAAAAAAGGAAAACAGTCTCTGTCCTCAAAGTGCTTACAATTCCTCACCTGTAAAGTGGAAGCCTTGGCTTAGAAGCATTGCAGCTAGAGATGACTTCTTAGGCCCCTCCTGGTTCGAAATCCTGTGATCTAAACCTGGCGAAAACTGATGTTTCCTCTATCTCGGAGAAGTCAGTCAGTCAATAAGCATTTCCTAAGTTGTGGCTGTTCAGTCATATCCAATTCTTCATTACACCGTTTATGGTTTTCATGGCAATGATACTAGAATGGTTTGCCATTTCCTTCTCCAGCTCATTTCACAGGCGAGGAAGCTGAGGCAAAGAAGGTTAAGTGACTAGCCCAAGGTCACAGGTAGCTAGTGTGTGAGGCAGGATTTGAATTCAGGAAGTCTTCCTGATTCCAGGCCTGGTACTCTCTCCACTGTGCCATCTAGCTGCCCTATAAGTACGTGCTGTCTATCCCAGGCACTCTGCTAAGTGTTAAGGATATAAAGAAAAGAAAAAACAGCCCGCAGAGAGTTCACATTCCAATAGGGAAGACAAGAGGCAAATAACTAGTTACAAACAAAGATATAGATATACATACACACATATATGTACACACATATACACATACACTTATATACACATATATATGCAGGATTCATATATGTATAGATATGTGTTTATATGCAAATACACATGTGTATATACATGTATATATACAATATATAAATATATGTGTATATGTGTGTGTGTATATATACAATATATCTATATCTATATATATATTATGTATCTATATTTATATTTACATGGAAGGTAACCTCAGAGGAAAAGCATTAGTGTAATCCCCGTGGCAGTGATAAGGAGAGGCCTCTGGCTGGCCGAAGCTGAATCCAGATCAAATCCCACTTTCCACCAGAGGTCATCCTTAAAGGTTATTTGGAGCAACCCCTATCCGAAAAGGCATGTTCAGGATCCCTGAGAGGTGGCTTCTGAACACCTCTAATGAGGGAGGGTAGGTCCGCCGATGTGGTTGCTGAGGTCCTGTGGGGAGCCTCCGAGCTCCCCTGGAAGCCCCATTCCCTTCTGGGGCAGCTTTCATGATAGGAAGGTTGTTTTTTTCTTTACCTCAAGACTTGGCGAAAAGTGCCTGCCCTCAAGGAGTTCCTTTCTAATGGGGGAGACAACATGCATATAAATTGCTACATGGAAGATAAATTCAGAATATACAGAAGGTGGCCCTATAATAAAGAACTTCCCCACCCCCCTTACTGCTACTGCCTTCCTTCTGCTGATTTCCACCAGTTTTTCCTCTTTAGATTTGTTTGCACATTGCCTCCCCCTTTAGACTTGAGGGCAAGGACTGTCTTTTGCTTTTCTCTACCAACCGGAACCATCCCCGGCACTTATCTCAGTGCTGGGCACATAGTAGGGCCTTAACAAATACTAATTGACAGACCAAGAAACTGATTTTATATGGCTTTTTAAGGTTTGTAAAACTCTTTATACCATTATCTCCTCTGATCCTCACAATAACCCAGTGACATAGGGAAGATGATAATCCTCATTTTGTAGATGTGAAAACTGAGGCTTTGAAAGACAGGAGAGTTGTTTAGGAGCATGGTGTCTTCCCTGTTAGATTGTAGGTTCCTTGAGGGCAGGGCTGTCTGGTTCAACACTATCATTCTACAAATGGGGAAACTAAGGCCCAGGGAAGTTACCTTACTTGCTTAAGGTCACACAGGTAGTATAAAATACTTGTTCTTTTTAGTTCTAAAGGGAAGAATGAGGGACATCGGGTAGAAATTGCAATGAATCAAAATTAGACTTGATTTCAGGGAAAACAAACAACCTCCTTCCTTCCAAATGTTTAAAAGTTGGAGTTATCCATAAGTGAGATGAATTTCCTTGGAAGGCAGGGTGTCTGAACCTCAGTTTGATCATATCTGATATGAGAGCTTGGGGTTAGTTTAAGAGTGATGTCAGAGAAAACACCTAACAACTGTATCTAGGTGCAATAAGTTACAGCAGAATCTGGTGGGTCTGGGACTCAGTTTCTTGATCTATAAAAAGAGGAGATGAGGACTTCAGTGAATGTCTTTAATTGGAAATTGGAATTTCTCAACAGGAATGTTGTCAAGGAAATTCATGTTCAAGTATGGCTGGACTACATGGACCCTCAGGTTTCTGCCAACTGTAAAATTCTATGATTCTGTAACTTACTGCTCTCCAAGGTCTCTTTGAGCTTGATATCCTAGGCCAGTGGAATGAATGCAGTCAGGTGACCTGTGTGACCTTGGGCAATGTATCACTTAACATCTCTGGGCCTCAGTTTCCTTTCAAGTAGAAATTGTTTCTTTTTTTTTGTCTGAATGGCCAGTGCCCAGTACAGTGGATGGCACTGAAACCCACACTTGTTGATGGTCGATCTGTAAAATGAGGGGGCTAATGTAAAATGAAGGACCATTAAGTGCTGAGGTCCTTTCCAGCTCTGGTTTAACCCATCAATGATAAAAAGTCAAGGATTTACATGCTCAGCTGCAGTTTTCTTATTAGATAGAGGGGAAGCCCCTTGCCCCTACCTCCTGCCTCACCTCTTTCTCTAAAGAAGGGAGATGAGGGCCCGCCCACAATACTCTGTTGTCAGAGAGACTGGAAAGAAAAGAGGCAAGCATTTTTCCCAAACAGACTTAACACTCCCTTGCAAAAGCATTTGCTGTTGTTTCTTGAAGAAAGAGAGAGACAGAGAGAGAGAGAGGGAGAGAGAGAGAGAGAGAGAGAGAGGAGAGAACCTTGCCAAAATGGGTACTACTTTCTAAAATATTATAATGTATGAAGTGTGTGAAGAGGCCTTCCTTCACTTTAAGATGAATGATGTTCTAATCTGAGGCTATTAAACATGGCAGCCACACTCAGTCTGTTCTTTGCTTCTGTTTGCATTCCTCTCCCCAGGACAAAGCAGCTCCAGATATTAGAGGGGCTTTTAAATGCTGGCCCAAAACTTTGGTCCTTCATCAAAGGGTCCATTACATTCTTAAGGGTGACGTGTGGGTGAAAAAGGTCTCCTTGCTCCTTAGGAAGATGGACTTCCGATGTTAAAAGAGACCTCATAACCACTCTTTATTTTGACAGGAGTCTGTGTATTATTCATGCACTTCCACAGAAAGCAGACAAACTCCAAAGCTGGAGAATAGGTCCAGGTCCCTTGGGAGGAAGTTGTAAGGGGGTATGATGAGGGGGGGTTAGAATGGTCTGAGATTCCTCAGGGCAATGAAGCAAGCCAGTGACAAGCCTTTACTTCCAAGTTACACCCAAAGGAATTTAGACTCAGAAGCTCTGTCCCTTGTCTCTTATCTTGGCCTTGGAAACTCCTGGGGCAAGAGGATTTTGGTGGCAGAAAAGGAGAGTTTTGGGTGGTCCTAAAATGTACCAGGCAGCAAGGCTTCATATAAAGAACACCCATTTTGTACCACAAAGCTCCAGGTTTACCTGACTTTCTTTTTTCAGCTGCATGGCCTTGGACTTTTTAGTTAAGTTCGTTAGTATCCTCATTCACAAAATGTAGATTCCCTTCTAAGTTTTAAGTACTAGTTCTGTTTAATATTGGAAGAGAAAAAGCACAGGACCAGGAGATCTGGATTCTATTAAATTTGAACAAGTCTCTTATAGTAGTAGTCATGGTGGTGTTCCTAATGATTATAATGTAGCAGCAGCAGCAGCAGTAGTAGCCTTCTGCCTCTTTTTGTATCCCTAGCACTTAGCACAGTGCCTGGCAGATAATAGGCACTTAATCAATGTTTATTGATTGATTATAGCATTGGTGGTGGTGGTGAGGGTGGTAGAAATAATAATGGTGATGATGATGATGATATTTAGAAAGTGCTTTAAGGTTTGCGAAATGCTTTGTACATGCATTATCTCCTTTGATCTACACAACATGCTTCTTGGTTTGCATTTTAGAGCCCTTCCCAACCTACCTTTCCAGCCTTGTCACACCTACTTCCCTTTGTGCCCTCTACAATCCAGTCACAAAGGTTATTTCCTTGAACATGATAATCCATTTCTGACCTCCATGCCTTTGCACTAGCTGTCCTCCATACCTTGAAGGCACACCCTCCTCACCTCTGCCACTTTGAATTCCTCTGCTTTCTTCAAAGCTTAGCTCAAGGGTCTCCTTCTCTGCAGTGGTTAGCTCCTTCCCCCAGCTTGTTTCCTCTCTTGTAAAATGGGGATAATAATCCTAACCCTTTCTATTCCTGTAGGAATAGTAAACAACTCTAATTCAATTAAAAAAAAACATTTATTAAACACCTACTAGGTTCAAGACTCTAAGCTTGGCCCTGGGGACCAGATAAAAAACAAAAACAGTCCCTGCCCTCAGAGTGCTTCCATTCTATTGGGGGATGGTATAAAGATTGAATGAAATAATGGGTGTTAAAGTATTTACGCAATGTAAAGAGTCATTGAAATGTGGCCTTACAGTTACTGTTATTTTTGAATGACTGACTCACAAACCCCTAGACCTCATCCTGACCCACATAGAAACTTACGAGAGTCTCAGTTGGGCTTTGCGTCTTCTCTGAACCTCTAACAGCCAAAACAGTAGATGGAACTTCCTCTTTCTTTGTTCCTAATAATAAAAATTAAAAAACAAAACAAAACAAAACAATGATTCACATTTCAAGGGCACATGAAGATACAAACATGTTTCCTGGACTTGTGATTTCACTGGTATAGCGATCTCCTAGGGAAGAAACCACCCAGTCTTAGCTCCCTAAGGCACTGAGTGGTTAAGCCAGTAACTCCGAGTCACACCATCAATGTGTATCAGAGATAGGATGTGAAACCTGGTACTGCTAACTCCGAGGCTGGCTCTCTCTCCACTTTGCAGCACTGCCTCTTCAAGGCTAAAAAATAAGTAGAAAAAGCAAACAGGAGTATGGAGAGAAGAATTTCTTTCAGTCTCAGTAAGAAGAAAACCAAAATGATTTAATTTACCTGGTTGGGGTCACAAGGCAATAATGTATCATTATTATAAGAGAAAGAGCCTTGAGTTGGGAAAGAGTAGGACCCAGTGGTGACAGTCCTGGATCTGTCCCTGATTTATTGTGAGGTCTGAGGCAAACCATTATAATGACCTTCCTGAGCCTCAGTTTTCTCTCCCCTGTAAAATGGTCATGGACCTAAGGGTTGGGGAAGGGATGAGTATAATTATATTAGTACTACTGGTGTCATTGTGCTGTTGGGAGCATCTTTACAAGAAATAAAAGTGATGTAAGTGTTTGAAACAACAAAGATAGCAGAATTGCAGGTCCAAAGCAGAAAAGGAGCTCGGAGGCTATCTAACCCAACCCCTTCATTTTACAGAGGAGGACACCGAGGCACACAGGTAATGAGTATCAGAGATGACATTTAAATCCAGGTTCTCTGACTCCAGAGCCCATACTTTTTCTACTATATGATAAGAAGTTCAACTGGGAGGGAGATAAATGGAGTCTAGAAAAGTCAGAAAAACTTCCTTGGAGAAGGTAGGATTAAACTGGTCCCTGAAAGTCCCCTGTCTACTATACCATGCTCTCCTATCTGAACATAGTCATACTGAACAAACAAGAAAAAACAAAAAAAACAAAAAAAACCATTGACCAAGATCTTCCCGTGGCCAGGTACTGTGCTGAATATTGGGGATACAAATAGAAAAGGAGCTCCCAGGAACCCCAGGGACTGTGACAGACAGACAAATAATGATAACATACTAGATAACACCCAGGTTTTCAGAATTGAGTTTTGATTTTGTTTTAGAGGTTTATCTAGAAAATACTTATATAAAGTTCAGAGATTCAGAGCTGGAAGGGATCTTACAGATTATATAATTCCCTTTATTTCCCTTCACTCCCTCACTCTTCACTTTACAAAAGAGGAAACTGAAGCCTGGAGAAGTAAAGTGATTTGCCCAAAGTTAGATAGTGACAGAGGTGGGATTCAAAGCCAGTGTCCTAGCCACTGTCCCTATCTGACAGTCAAAAACAATGAATAAATGCCTACTATGTGCCAACCACTACACTAAACTCTGGGGACGCAAAGAAAAACAAAAATAGTCCCTGCCCTCAAGGAGCTTACAATCTAATGTAAGTTGACTACTGGAAATAATTTTAGGACATAATTTACTCCCCAGAAGTCTGGTGCTTAAGGTATAGGTCTGCCCTCTACCTGTGTTACCTGTCACAAGTCAATACTCCAGGCATCCTGCCCCCTCATATACCTTTGCTCAGCAAGCATATTCTTATTCACGCTATCCTAATGGCCTTAGATTTGTTATGTCTGTCAGGAAGGTCATCCTGTAATTTATGCCAGCAAGACAGATTGCAGACTACATTTTCAATAGAAGATAAATGAATAATCATCATGAATGAAGGATGTTTATAGTTCAGCAGACAGCTGGTTTGTCTCCAACCACATGGTGAGAGGTTCAAGTCCAGACTTGGAATCCCAAACATGCCTGGATGTTAGACCTTGGTCATGGCCAACTCCTACTTTGTCAACTGTGTGAATATCAAACTCTCCCTTCTCTCCCCTCCCCTCCTTTGCCCCCACGTGGATCACTGTCTAAAACTGGCTTGGTGGCACCTTGGTTCAAAACTCTCATACCATTTCTTGTTACTGCTTGTGTGGTCAGAAGAAAAGTTGTAACCCCAAACAGCTGCTCCTAATAAGCCATTATGCAAATAGATTACATCAGTTCTTTTCTTCTCCTTTTTTGGATTGCTGAGGGAATCAAGTATGAGACCATCATTTAGAACTCTCAGGTCAGGTATAATGTATAAGTAAATACAAACAAGTTACCACACTTTTCAGAAAGCAGAGAAGACCCAGTTATGGAGGGAAGTGCCTTGCAGTAAATTTCCCTAATAAAGGTCTGATATCTAAGACATATAAGGAACTGCTTCAAATGTGCAAGAATAGGAGTCATTCCCCAGTAGACAAATGATCTGAGGTCAAAGGATATGCACAGGCAGTTCTCAAGGGAACAAATTCAAGCTATCAATAACAATATGAAAAATACTTGAAATTAATAATAATTAAAGGAATACAAATTTAAAACAATTCCGAGATTCTACCTCACACTCACCTGATTGGTAAAGGTGACAAAAAAAAAAGATGAAACATGTTGGAGAGGCTACAGGAAAACAGATGTATTAATGTACTGTTATTGGAGCTGGGCATTAGCCCAGCCTTTCTGGAAAGTAATTTGAAACTATTCCCCCAAAGTTATAAAACTGGGCATACCCTTTGAACCAGTGATACCACTACAAGGCACACGTCCCAGAGAAATCAAACCAACCCAGATGTTAGAAATAATCTTGAAGAACAAGGGGGTTCATGCAGAATTTATCAGCTTAAAAGGGAGGATTAGCTACACACACACACACACACACACACACACACAAGATTTGGGGAGATCAGAGTTGAATCACCAGCAGCTATGGGACACCACAGTGTATAGAACATTGGACCTAGAATCATGAAGAACTGAGTTCAAATCCAGCCTTAGACACTTAATAATTGTACAAGATAATATATGTAAAGCATATTGCAAATCTTAAAGTTCTGTCTGAATGGTAATTATCATCATTATCATTAACAAAATGTGATGTTGAGTGAATCATGGGGTCACTAACTTAGGACTTCAAGGAACCATAACAGACATGGTACAGAGGAGACAATCACAGGCTTTGAGTCAGAGAGACAGGTGCAAGTCTTACTTTAGATACTTGTTGGTAGCAAGGCATCCCACTACTCTGAATCTGTCTCCACCTCTACAGAGTGGAAATAATAATACCTGTGTTACCTTTGTCACAGGATGGTTGGATAGAGGAAATGAGCTAAGGCATGTAAAGCCCTGTTCAACTTTAGAGTACAATAACAACAACATAACAATAATAACAATAATGATGATGATGATGATGACCACTATTATAATTATTGCTATTGATAATATTATTATTTTTAAGGAAATAGCAGAGTTAGGATTCCACATCAAGGTCAGCTGGCTGAATTCAGGGTTGCTTCCACTAGCTGTCAGTCGTTCCCTCTATAAAATGAGGGGGTGGGCTAGTTCAGGGGTTCTTAACATGGTGGGTCATCTGTGAACTTGTCTTTATTACTCTTTTGACAGTTACATTTCAACATATTGGAATTCTTTGTGCTGTATTCTATGCATTTTAAAGCATTCTGAGAAGTGGTCCATAGACTTCACTGGACTGCCAAAGGGGTCCAGGATAAAAACAGGGCTTAGACTCCTTGAGCTAAATGCTTTTAAAAGCCCCTTCTAACCGCCACTAAGATTTTGCCCCTCTACATGACCTGTGTTGAATATCATGAGTTTTTTGTAAAGACCCTAGATTACAAAATCCACAGCTATGATTGTAATTGTCTGAGAAACAGGAAGTAAATAGGGGTTCTGAAGATGTGGACCCCAGCTCCCATGAAGACCAGTTCTTTCTTTGTCTCCTCCTGCACTTGAGGTTGCTGGTTGGCACCCTTTCAACTGAGGGTGAGAAGCAGCCTGGCTCAGCTGACTTTCTTGTATGCTGTGATAAAGTGATCACTGCGGCAGTGTGACTGAAATCATCAGAGAGAAGACTTTCTGGGAAATGAGCTCCTGAGCATTTCTGGGCAGAGCCAAATTGTCTCACATTGCCTGACTTGCTCTCCAAAGTATAACGCATGGAATTATTGAGAGCCTCAGAGACTGACCCTGAGAGTCAGTCAGTCAACAAGCATTTATTAAGTACTTACGACGTGCCACATACTCTGCTAAATGTTGGGAATGTCGAAAAAGGTTAAAAGTATATTGTTTCCACCCTCAAGGAACTCACATTCTAAAGAGGGAGATGACATGCAAACAACTATGTACATACAAGATGTAAATAGAGCAAATGGAAGGAAATCTCAGAGGGAAGACTCTAGCAGCAAGTGGTGGTGGGGAAGACCAGCAAAGGTCTCCTGCACAAGGTAGCCTTTGAGCTGGGTCTTGAAAGAAGATAGGAGGTGGAGACAAGGATGGAGGCCATTCTGGGCAATAGAGGCAGCCTATGAAAAGGCATTGCATTGCAAGCTGATTGACAAAAACCCAGGAGGCTAGCGTCATTAAATTACAGAGTACATGGGGGGCCGTGAGGTAGAAGAAGGCTGAAAAGGTAATGAGGCCAGGTTCTGAAGGGCTGAACAGAAGAGTTTTATATATGATCCTGGAGGTCACTGGGGTTTATTGAGCAGGGAGTCAGATCTGACAAGGAAGATCATTTTGGCAGCTGAGAAGATGATGGATTGGAACTGGGAGAGACTTGACACTAGGGGCCAACCTGCAGGCTATTGTAGTAGTCCGGGGTGAGGTCATAAAGTTTGTTGTTACTGCTCAATTATGTCTGGCTCTTCATAACACCATTTGGGATTTTCTGGGCAAAGATACTAGAGGTGTTTGCCGTTTTCTTTTTCAGCTTATCTTACAGATGGGGAAACTAAGGCAAACAGGGTTAAGTGACTTGTCCAGGGTCACACAGTTAGTAAGTGTCTGAGGCCAGATTTGAACTCAGGAAGATGATTTTTCCTGACTCCAGGCCCAGCACTCTATGCACTAGGGTGCCACCTAGAAGCCCTGTGGTAATGAGGTTAGAAGGCAATAATATGAGACCATGCAGTAGTAGCTCTAGGCAGTATCGTATAGTGGAAAGAGTAATGGATTTGGAGTAAGAGGACATAGGTTCAAATCTCACCTTTGGTTACGTTTTACTTAAGCGGCCTTGGGCAAGTCATTTAACTTTCTGGGGCCTCAGTTTCCTTTTATGTAAAATGTATAGGAGAATGTTGAGCTAGATGGCCTCTGAGACCCCTTTTATTTTTTTTTTCAATTTTTTTAACTTTTTTATTTATTTATTTATTTTTTAGTTTTAGTTTTCAACATTTACTTCCACAAGATTTTAAGTTAATTTTCACCCCATCTTGCCCCTCCCCCCAATGCAAGATGGCATGCATTCTGAATACCCCTTCCCCTAGTCTGCTTTCCCTGCTATCTCTCCCCCCTTCCCCTTCTATTTTCCTGTAGGGCAAGATAGATTTCTGTACCCCATTTCCTGTATTTCTTATTTCCCAGTTGTATGTGAAAACATTTTTTTTAAACATGTGCTTTTTAAACTTTGGGTTCCAAATTTTCTCCCTTCCTCCCTCCCCACCCACCCTCATTGAAAAGTCAAGCATCTCAATATAGGTTATACGTGTGCAGTTATGCAAAACACTTCCATAGTAGACATGCTGTGAAAAACTAACTCTATTTCCCTAATCCTATCCTGCTCTGTGATTTATTCTATTCTCTCTTTTGACCCTGTCCCTCCTCAGATGTGTTTGCTTCTGATCACCCCCTTTCCCAATCTGCCCTCTTCTCTATCACCCCCTACTCTCTTGTCCCCTTCCCCTCCTATTTTCCTGTAGGGTAAGACAGATTTCCATACCCAATTGAGTATGTATGTTATACCCTCCTTAAGTCAAATCCTATGAGAATAAGATTCACTCATTCCCTCTCACCTTCCCCCGATTCCCCTCCACTATAAGAGCCTTTTCTTTTCTGGTTTTTTTTTTTTGTGAGATAATTTATCCCATTCTACCTTTCCCTTTCTCCTTCTCCTAGTATAATCCTCTCTCACTCCTTAATTTTATTCTCCAGGTATGACCCCTTCATCTTCAACTCACCCTGTTGCCTCTGTCTATCTATCTATCTATCTATCTATCTATCTATCTATCTATCTATCT